ATAATTTTAATCCAGGAACAAGAGACCTGTATAGAGCTCATGTTGATAAAAGAGTCTTCTAATTTGTTTCCAAGACTTAGGCATAGATGGGTACCATCTAAAAGATGTGGGCATATATGAGACAGAAGTATTGCCTGGAAGTATCTGCAGACAAAATACTGAAGGTGTTAGAGAAACTATGCTCTAAACAATCACACAGCTGCACTGTTTCCATGTTAAAGCTGTCTAAAAGGAATGCCTCTTTGTTCCCTTTCATAACTGCCTTCAGCTTTAGGATTATCTGCACCCCAGATGTTTTTCATGCAGTAACTATTCTCATTTTTTTCCTCCCCCATCCAGGCGAGGTCAGTGAGTAATGGGGGAGCTATTGGTCTTTTCTCTCCCATACCCTGCATCACCTTTCCTTCAGTTTCCACTTCTCCAGGCAGCTGGTAAGGTTTTGTGTATTGTATTTCTCAAAAGCAGGGTGGGCTCTTCCACAGCCATCTGTTTAACCCTGCCATTGCAGTACTTTGATACCACATTTGCTGGAGAATCATAGTGTTTCATTCCCTGACTGATGCAGAGCTATCTTTGGTATCCTTGGTGCTGGAGAAAAGGTGAACTACCTTTATATTTCCCATTTGGCTACCCAGCCTGTCACTAGGCAGGCATGAGTGGACAGAGGGCACAAAGGTGTCCCAGAAACCACATGCTGAGGAGGCTGAAACAATGGGAGGTGTTCCTGGCTCACTGCTGCTGCTGACCACAAGAGCAGTATGTAAAACATTTATTGGACAAGCAAGAATCTGGACCTTTGGTTTTCTTTCTCATCTTTGACATCATGGAGGGTTTGTTAGCACAAAGTGATTTCTAACAGACGGCTTCCTATTCCTGCCTCCTGCAACAGCCCACTCCAGCACTTCTGGGAGCAGGAAATGCTGCTGTAATTCTAAGTATACATTATATTAGCAAAATGTCATATCAATAAGACTTTTTCTGTATTCTTCACATGCTGCATTCTGAAAAGACTTTAAAGCAGAACAGAAATTATTTTTACAATCATGTTCTTCATGACATAAATATAATTTAATAAAACCATTTTGAGGTCTTACAGGAAAAGAAACATTTTTGAAAAAAAACAATGCAACTGTAAGTTACATCTGCTTTTTCTCATGCTGTGATCTGTATTGACTCCCTGGGTAACACTGGACAAAGCTCAGCACTGTTGAACTATACTAGACATAAACTGATAGTAGTAGACAAATTTTAATTACTATTTGGCCTCATCAAAAGGAGCTGGACACTGATGGGACATTTGGTAGATAAGATGACAGATCCAAGATTTTTAGGCATTTTAGACTATAATTAGGTGTGCCAGTCATCCTGTGCAGGCAAACTCTTACATGTAAAAGTCACCAAATTATTATACAGAAATGAAATGCTGTCAAATACAAACTCAAATACAATTGTACTTGGCCTGAAGCTCTGGATTAGAAAAGGTTGTGTTGGGTTAAGTAGGTCATCAAACCTACCTCGGCAAAGATTCTGTTTGCTGTCCTTGTGGGTGTGGAGCCAGGTCTCCCATAGACAGAAGAGCTGCATGATGGGTATGAAGTCACTGAAAGACTGTGAAGTGTTACAGGAGAGTTGATGGCTCCTTTGTAACAATCCTTTGAGAAATTTGTACATAAATTCAGTGAATGATTTCTGCTGTACACATCTGTGCTGCTACCATACCACTGTCATCATCATTCTGTGTGAAGGCTATGGCAACCTCTTAGAGCAAACTTCAAACTGAACCACAGGTGTCTGTGGCCGGGTCCCTCAAGTGGCATTTCTCCTGCAGCGCTTGATTTGACCGCAGTAACTGTTGTGCCACCCACAGTGGGGAGGGTGGAGGCTCTCAACCCTCAGAGGAGCTGAGTGAGAGGAGAGCAGAGCATGCACTGTGCTTGACTTGACCAGTCTTTCACCCAAGTTGCATTGGACAATGAAGTTAGAAGTTTTGAGATAGGTGAGCTTATGTTAGCCTTTTGTTTCATGACCGGAGGTGTCTGAGATCCCCAAGAGTACTTTCACCCAAACCAGGGCTTATGGTCTGTCTGTTGGTTAGGAAAAGAGTAAAAGCAAAGGAATGAAAAACACATTGTAATGGTATAAATATTTACATGTGTCTTTAAGTTTGCTGTGATTTCTGTGGGACTGCTACACTTGCTGAAGATAAACACTGAAAGTCTTTGCAGGTTTGGTCACTTATTTCAGCCAGGCAATTCTTTTCTGGCTTAAAGGAAGGGATTTTCTTTTCAATTTCTACAGGATTAAAGCTCTCCACTATTTAAGAAAAAAACTTTCATTAAAAAAATATATTTCACAGTGACATCCTCAAATGCTGCAGTTGACAGTAATTTTACTGTACTGTTTTCACAAGGATTGACTTGTTAAAAACTGCATGTTCCTAGATAGGACAGAAAATGAAGAGAAAAAAAACAAATTAGGATAGTAAAGAGGAAAAAGCAACAAAGCCTTATATTTGCCCCTGGATAGTGCTATCACCTCTTGAATCTGTATTAACTGAAGCTGTAAGAAGAATGCAAAAATTGTTAACCTTATAAATGTATACACAACTACTGTGCGTTTTCTGGAAAGAGACTAAAAGAAATCTGGTCTCCCATTTCTGCATCACCTGGTAAAACATGCATCTCCTTCAGACTGGGCACAGTTTGCCCTGCTGTTGTCCAGTCCCTGAGCATTTGCGCTAATGTGAATATATCACAAGGTGATAAAAACACCTTGTTTAGTCTGGGGTCTAATCACTATGAACTGGCTCAAGGCTGGATGCTTGTCCTAGTTGAGCTGAGTGCTAATCCATTGTCAGCAGTGATTTCTTTCAAGTGTCTTGAAAAGTAATAGTATAGTATAGAAATGGTTTGTATGTGTATGTGCTTGGATTATAGAAGATTCTTCAAATGAAAACATATTCTTGTTCAATGAAGGTAAAAAGAAAAGACATAAATGTATTAATAGTAGCAGTAAACGAGCTTTCTTCGAGAGTTAACAGCAAATAAGGAATCTGTGGTAGCGTATCCTGTAGAACTGAGACCATGGAGATACATTGCACCAAATTTTTACAGTGTCCTTCCGACAGAGAAAGAGAGCTTGTTTTTGGGATTGTGTTTACAAATAACTGTGCGAGAGTCTGCTAAAAATTCCAGAGGTATTTTCATCCTGATGAGCTGAGCTGCATATTCCATGGTATCTTGTATCCAAAGGGAAATGTAAGAAATGGAAATTAAAAACCAGCGGGTTTGTGCACCCTGCATGCTCTAAGCAACCCTGAGTGGACTAGTGGTTTGCCAGAGATATTTTTCCGTCATGAACAAATTAGATTACTGCTTTTGTGCCTCATCGGCAAAACAGAGATGATTTTTCTTCACCTTATAGATACTTGTAAAGCTAAAGTGGCAGATATGTATGATTTGCTTTGGGGTTTTAGAGACACAGAATTTACTGGTATGTTTCTGGTAGGCAATTCTGTTAAACATTCTGATATGAATCATGGTTTCCCAGACAGGCTTTATCTTCTGTCAAAGCCTATAGGAAATTTAGGGCTAGGAAAATTCAGCTTACTGAAAATTCTACTATATATTTGACAATCATATCCCTTCTGAAGATTTTCATGTGTTTTACCTTCAGGTTATTAAAGTCCTGCAGCAAGTCATCATCTCAGCCTAAAGGTTTGGGGAAGAAATAAGCAATACATGAAACTGGATGAGAAGAATTTTTACATCTATTCATTTGGGACCCTGATGAGTGATACACTGGGAGAGGCAGAAGATGGTGAATTTCACAGAGAATGCAACTGAGAAGTGCACCATTAATCATGATATCCACCAGACATTATCCCCTGTGGTATACGTATTTGTGTTTATACTAGGCTTGCCAGCTAACTGCCTGTCACTGTACTATGGGTATTTACAGATCAAGGCTAAAAATGAATTGGGCATCTACCTTTGCAATTTGACCGTAGCAGACCTGCTCTACATATTTTCATTGCCTTTTTGGCTTCAGTATGTTTTACAGCATGACAATTGGACCTACAACGAGCTGCTGTGCAAAATCTGTGGCATCCTGTTGTATGAGAACATCTATATCAGTGTGGGCTTCCTCTGCTGCATCTCCATTGACCGCTACCTGGCAGTAGTGCACCCTTTTCGCTTTCAACAGTTTCGGTCAATGAAGGCTGCTGCCATTGTGAGCATTGTTGTCTGGACCAAAGAAATAATGACGTGCTGCTTTGTCTTTACACACGGGGAGATCAGCATGGATGCCGAGAGCCACGTGGTGTGCTTCGAGCACTACCCCATCAAAACATGGGAGCACAATGTCAATTACTACCGCTTCTCTGCTGGCTTCCTTTTCCCCTTCTTTCTACTGGCCTTCTCTTACTGTGGGATTTTACGAGTTGTCCACAAGAGTCATGGAACTCAAAAGAAGAAAAAAATCCAAATTAAACGACTAGTTTCAAGCACTGTTTTCATTTTTTTAGTTTGCTTTGGACCATACCACATCCTACTGGTGGTTCGCAGCTTGTTGGAGAAAAGCTGCTCATTTGCTGAGAAAATATTTAACATTTACCATATTTCTCTCCTGTTGACTACTTTTAACTGTGTTGCTGATCCAGTATTGTACTGTTTTTCCAGTGAAAGCACTTACCAGAACTTTGCCAAGATGCGAGACTCTTGTTTAACGTGTTTAGGGTGTCTGAGGCCTGAGACAAAGGAATCCTATCCGCTGAACGCTCCAGAAACTCCCAACAGGCCACAGCAGGAGCAACAAACAGGGTTATTACACATATCACGTGATGATATTGCAATGAAGGTCTCCTCCACAACTAACAGGAACAGCCTATAGCATTCATCAAAGAAGGACGTTAAAGCCTGCAGCTATGGCTGCGTTTGAGTATCCATCTGATTTACCTGTGTATTACAACAGTATTACCTCCAAAAGGCTTGTTAGCAATGCAGTACAAGGAGGTGGTTTCTGGAGGTGTTTGGACCTTGGCAACAGTGAGGAAAGCACATGCTAAGTCAGTTCACTTACCATCTTATGTGTCTGTTGTCATTGTGAACTCAGAACCCGTGTCTTAATGACTGCATTGACTGGAATAAGCTAGTACTCATGGTGTGTGCTTCTCTTGAATTCATCTTTAACTGCTTTCTGTTTACTGTAGTGTCTAGAGAAAGCAATTCTCTATAAGCTGTCATCATCTGTTGAAAAGGTTGGAGACAGAACGTATTAAATGTCCCTATACATACTTCTATAAAGAAAACCAAACAATTTCTGCAACTCTGAAATAACTTGTCCTTCAGCCAGTTTTGAGGCCTGTGGAGACCATGCCAGAAACAGCTGTCTAAAGCCACCAAGCCAATAATGTGAGATTTCTGAGAGAACATGCACAAGGAACTTGGCATCTGCTGAGACCTTCAGTCTGTTGATTGACTGTTGAATCTCAGACTGTCGAACCTCATCATAAGGCTCCTATTGACTTCCAGAGGTATGAGAACTCTTGGCTGTGACAGGCAAACATAATTTGGTCTGTTGACTTGCAAAAGAACAAGAGGTTAGTAGTACATGAGGAGCTTTGAACTCCTGCACTTCTCTGAAGTTACTGTGTTCAAAGACAAATTTGCTTACAATTAAATACTACAGCTTGCTAAGGTTTTGATTGTTTCCTTCAGAATTTGTGTGTCTTGTGCAGTGTAGACAATGCAGGAAATTAAATAACAATGGGTTTGTCAGGAAAACTGTTAAAAGAATTCTGTTTAAACTCTGTTTTCTCTCACAGATACCACAGCTTAGTGTCCCGGTTAGAGGGAAGAATTGTGCTCCCCATCCCTTATCCCTTAGTTCTCCCAGGTAGAGAGGTAAATAAAGGAAGGCAGGGGTAATGAAAGCTTTGCACCGATTGAAAAGTTAACAAAATGAAATATATTATTTTACAGGGAACAGAAAGGAAGAAGGGTAGGGGTTTAACAGGGTACAGAAAGGAAAAAGAGTAGGGGTTTAACAGGGTAAAGGGATTATAGGAACAACAAAGTAAGGAAGGTTAAACTTCCAAAAAATACAAAACCCAAGCGCTGTGCTGAGGCTCCCCAGTGCTGGATCTCGCTGGTTTGAGGTGGATGGCCCATCCTTGGACAATCCTTAGATGTAGATGGAGGCAGGGAACGAGTCTGGAGATCAGGCCCAGGTCCTGAGATGGCCACGGCCACGTGCACCCGGCCACGGCCAGCAAGGGGAGCCACAAACAGCAGCAGAGCAGCGTGTCCCGGCCAGGACCCCAGCGGAGAGAGAGGAGAAGGGGCTGGGGGGGAGGTTACATTCAGTATCAGAAACATAGAATAAGTGGAGATAATGGCAGTTAAAGATGTGGGAGTTGTGCTTTATACTATTGTTTCTACCAATCTAGTGCCATCTCCTCTTTTTTTTTTTTTTTATTATACTAATGAATCCTGTATGATTTTTGTGATCTGTTCGTCATACTCTCATGTATTTGTGTTACACTATGAATATTGCCTTGTCCTTTCACTTCTCTGGTTTCAAACCTTTCTTGAAGCACCTCTCTCTCTGCAACCTGAAGCTGATAACTTCCAAGCAGTTACCTGATAAGTAGTTTTGTTTCTTCCTTTTTTTTTTTTTTTTTTTTTTTTTTTTAATGTCAAAAGATTTTCTGGATAGACAGTCTAATCCTGGTATCTGAAATGTGTTTTTGTAACACAGCCTTGCTTGTCATCAGTTTCTGAAAGGAATATATTCTAAGAGTTTTTTGGAAGCCACCTTGAGAGTGCAATATTAGAAATAATTAGGGGATGTATTTAATAAAGAATGTTTTTATTGTATTCTTCCTGTATTTGCTCACTTTGTGTTTGAAATAACTCTCTTATGGCTTTAGCCCACAGTTTCTGTTTGTGATACTAGAGATCTTCTGCCCCCTCATCTTGCAGAAAGGATTCATGTCTCTATTCCCAGGAGGGGATTTAGGTTTGCTTAGGTTAACATTTGGTTTGTTTAATTATTTTACATTTCTTTATACTTAGACCACTCACCAAACTGGATTAACTGCCTTATACATGCATTTTTTTCTTCTGACTGTTAGTGCTGTTTAGCTTTACTTTCTCCTAATCTTTCCTCTAATCTCTTGTCTGTGATGTTGTAGGGCAGGGACTCCCTTGGTTCTTGCTAAGAACCAAGCCAACTAATTGAACTGCCATGACCTGACACACAGGTGGTTTGTTTTAGGATGAAACATTTGTTGTCCTGTTTATGCTTTTGTTCTTTACAGTTACATTGTTAAAATTAGACAGCTGGAAGGCAGAGTACGCCAGATTACATCGAATTGTCATCTGAAGGATTAAGGCTTGTTTAAGTTGGTACTTTAATATGGTCAGCTGCTGCATTTTAAAACCAGAAGGAAACTTCTGTGATGGAGTCCAGCATTCTTATGCAGGTCTCAGTGTTTAACCTGTTAACTCACAAGAGAAGAGGGGAGAGTTTCTTTTAATGTCTTTTTTTTTTTTTTTTCCCCCACATCTGAAGTCAATATTTTATCAATTCTTTCTACATTGTAACTGCTAGGCTTAGGCTGCAGAACTGTATTCAGTATGGGAAGAAGATAACTCAGAACTTTTCTTTCTGTTTCAGCCAGAACATAGTCAATCGAGAGTCCTACTATGGTTGTTGAAGATATTCCACACATTGCTCAGATTAACTGCAGGGCTTGGGACTGTGCAGGAGAAGGAATTTTAAAAACACACGTGAGATAAAAAGACAAATTATTACATTTTGTATTTCTTAATGAAATCTGACTGTTAAAACTTGTATTTTTGCGGAAAGAAGAACAAAAGCTTAATAAATGAAGTTTTTTTTACAAAAGTTAATATTTTTAAAGTATAATATACATTGCACCTGTTAGTATAGTATGTCAGTGAGCAACTGAGCACGTCGCACACAGAGAAGGAAATCAGCTGCCTCTTTTCCCACACAGACATTTTTAACTTGTGCCAATTGCTTTTTGTGGGTTCTGTGCAGCAGTGAATATATGCCATCCTGTGGGGTTACTGGCTTTGGCAAAAAGCTCAAGCATTCATACAAAATATTTTACTTAATAGTTCTAGTTTGGACAATTTGGAGACTTCAAAAGGAGTTATTTTTTAAATGTGAAACTTCAAAGATAGTTCCACTGCATCATCCTCCAAGAAGGCTTTAAATCAAAAGAATCTTAAAAACTAATGGATCCGTAAAATAAAGATTGGCAGGTTTGGTGACTCTGGATGTCTACCGGCAAGTCTGGCATTCAGATTTATATCTCTCACATGTATTCAACTGTTTTAAGTCTTTAAAGGCTGTGTATCCTCAGGGAATTCAGATGATTCATTTTGAAGTATGCTGGTGTTTGTGGTATGATCTGATTTTTCTGATTCTCTGAAGTTATGTGTTTGTCATAAATAAGGAAAATAAAATTCACCTGCCAGAAAGAAAGGTAGATACCAGGTGTTGCTGGCTGCTGGAAGTCCACAGTCCTTTGGAAAAAGCATCCTCGTAAAGCACCATGGTTTGATGCTCACCTTTTGTACCATTACAGTGATTTTGTGACAGCTAAACCATCAGTGCCTGAGAGGTGCAATGTCAAATATACCCTGTCCTCTCTGCTGTGAGGGCTGAAATCTAGCAGAACTTCAGCCCCGGCACTCATCTGGAGTTGAAGTGAAATCACATCCTTAAATGACAGAAGTCAGGCACAATTCACAACCGTGTGCCATGTACTGGTTCAGCCTTAGTGGGCTTTTGAGCTATAACTGAATTTTGCTTCACTTAGTCTTGTCAGGAGCTGCATTTCTATAACTGGTATTCATCTAAATGTTCATTTACATAATTTTATTTCATACTGAATGTAAATGTTTTTAAATTTTGAATCATGTTTTAATTTCTAAGCATAATTTTTAAATCAATATTCATGTATTTAATTTATTCTTAACAACAGCATACTCTAAAATGTCTTCAACCTTCTTCTACTACCAGAAAGGGAGAAAATATATAAATGGCAAATAGTAACAAGAAGGACATCAATAGTGTAGCCTGTCTTTTACATGGACGGTCTGCAACACTGCCCTTATTTTCACTAGCTCAGTTAAAGCTCTCCTCTTCACCTCTTCACACGTCCAAAAACTATCCACCACCATAAGAAGACAATGTTAGAGGAGCTACAGGAAATGTGCAGGGGGCTGTAAATAACAGCTTTCACTACTGTGACACTCTTGAACCTCCCCTCTCCACTGCAGCTGTTCTCCCCACTGCAAGGTATTTTTAAATTCCAGTTGTTACAAGAGCTACTTCCTGTGGCAGTTATGAGGCTAGTAAAATAGGAACAAGCACTGCAATAATTCACTTTAATGACAAGCTTGCTTTGTAAAAACCAGATCACCTCTTAGTATATAACATCATTTAATGTCCATCACCCATTATAAAATTACAGAAAATAAAGATAGACCACGTCACCACTGCAATATTCCCTTCTTGCTTCAGAGATGTTGTAAGGCTAACAGTGAAAATTTGTGTGCAGTCAAGAAACCAGAGATGAAAAGCCATTTTTTCTGATCTTTTATACCTTGTGAGAGCTGAGGGAATAAGGACATAACACAGGAGCAACTCTTGATATAGAAATCATTGGGGGCAGTCACTGCTGCACTTCTTGCAGCAGCTTTTCAATCAGAAGTGAATGGGTATTGTAGAAGGGCAGCCCATCCACTTCCATTTCTAGGCTGGCCGTTTTTCCACTGCGGATTCCGTGCTTCACAAGTGTTTTCAGAAGCTTTTCTTCCTTAAAAACCAAAGAAATATTATATAGTTAAAATCCTGAATCAGACAAGAGCATTTTAATTCTAGGGGAGACTGACCACATCCTCCATATTTATTTTAATAGCAACACCTTTTTTTAACTTGTCCCAAAGAATGTGTCACATCTGGAACTTAGGGAGTGTTAAAAGGGTTATATTCTTGACTGCTATTTAACTATTGAATGGTACTGCTGGTCTCCTTGCTGCCTCAAACAGCACATTAGTGTCAGTTCAGAAACATGAGTCCTTTATTGCCTGGTTTGAAGTTCCTATATTGCACAAATCAGAACCAGAGGAACCTCCACCCAAAGCATGTCAAAAAAACTACCTGTCATTTCCCCAGCGCAGCAGCTGGATGCAGATGCACATTTATAGAAAAAGAGCAGAAGGGAAGGAGGATATAACAGACAAAAAGGTTACAGAGAATACATGAACAGGCTGCACAATCCCCTTCTGTGATCTCTATGTGCTTTTTGCTCCCTGTCCTCTTTTTTTCTACTGATTTTATGAGAATTCTAGTTGCTTAGGAAAGGAATGGGGAAGAAAGAAACCCCTGAAACTGTGCTTCCTTGGGATTCTCTGAAATAGCGTGTACTTTGTTTAGAATTGCAACTCAATTTCACTTTTGTATGTTATTTTCTTGCATAACAGTAATGTAAGCAGATAGCAAAGTATGTTCCAAGTTAATCTGTTAAAGTACACAGAGGGAACAAAATCCTTGGCTGTGAGCTACAGGCCAGTTAGCACTGCAAGATGAAAAGATGGGATAAAATCAGCTCTGAAAAACACTACTTCTATAAACAGTGAAATTAGATGGCCTAGTTACAAATGGACATATGTACAGCAAAAACTGCTTTGCCTTCCATTTGACATGAAATGTATACAGTAAAACTCTTTATACTGTCTTAGCAATTACTATGAAGAGAATTTATTTATCTAATTCTACTGATAAAATCTAAAAAAATAGAAAGCCTAGTCATGTCTTAGCTTCCCCTTGCCCCAACCCTGTGGTAATTTACACAAGACCTTAAAATAGTCATATACCTATCTTCTCTTCCCTTTTCTTGCTAGGAATGCCTTCTCTGGTCTTTGCTCTACTGTTCTGTTTCCTTTCATGTGAGACTCTGCTTTGCTGGAAATCACTACTGAAACAGCCATAGCAGTGTCCTTGACAAACATTTCTATAGGTTTTAATAATTCTTGTTTGATATTCCCATACAATAACCTCTAACAACATCCTTTATCTCCTGGACACAAATTAATGATGAGAAAAATTATAAGCTAAAATGTCTGATATTCTTATTAAATTGTATTGTGTTATTCCCACCCGCCCCCCCCCCCCTCCCCCCGGAAGACTTTTAAGCCATAAAGAACACAACAGCTTTAGATCTGAATTTAGACACAATACAGTTGTATTTTACATACTACAGTATATGGCCAAAATATAAACATTTCTGGAAGAATTAAAGCATACCTTGCATGGTCAATTAGCAGAGAATTTAGGATAGTTTGGTAGCTTGCTTTCTGAATGCACTTTATAAAGATTTGTCTTATATTTCCTGCTAATGTAGCCTAATTCTTAGCTGCAATAAAGTTAAATGAGGCACTGGTTTTCCATTAAAGAAAAACCATGCAGTTACATCGTGTCAGTCTTGACATTATGTACCAATACAGCAATGATATAGCTATTTAGCGAAATTTTCTGGATACACTGGTAGCATAAAAGCTGCTACTTTGTAATTTATAAAATTATAAATACACATCAGCTTATATCGTATGAATGATCATATATATGAATGCAAATGTAAACACCTGATCTTTCAGCATGAGAGAGGTTTTTCTTAGCACTGACTATCTATATGCAAAGAGGCCAATTAGATATCTTGTGTCATAGTAGAGACACCTGAATCGGATACACAAAATAACTGAATTGTTTCTTCTACATATTTATTTGTTGGAGCTCTCTGATCTTCTTACATGCATAAAAAGGCTTGCTTGCTGAACACTCTACTACTATGCCTGATAAACCATATTCTATCATCAAATGCTATTGTTTCCATTTGTAAGAACACATACAATGTATGGTATGCTTCCTTAGCTGTAAAGTGCTGCAATTTGCTCACAGATCTCTCATTATTAAGTAATTATGTTATTTACATACAGTTACAGTGGGGTAACCAGGAAAATATTCAAATTAATAGTAAAAGAACTTGATAATTTGCACTTTATTCAGAAAATATTCCCTTATGAATGACAAAGCTAATAAAGAATACTAAAACAAATGTCACATCTTTATATAATGCTCATTTATAAAGTAGTTAATGTTCTTGCAGGTCATAATTTCAAAATAGATACTATGCAGTTAATTTCTTACCATGAATAGAGAGTTCAGCAAATGAACAACTGACTGATAATTAACCTGATTGTGAGATACAAGGAAATGGAGAATTGACTGTAAGATGTTTAGTGTTTGCTACATTTGGATATGTATG